GCGCGCTTGTCTCACCGGTGGGGCGGGCGGCCGGGCTCCGGCGGGGCTCCGGTCTTCCCTAGGTGTGTCAGTATTTTGTGTTTTTCATAAGCATGTTCTACAGTTTTTATAACTAGACAGGCAAAATGTTTTTTAAAAATTCAAGATGTGCACCACTTTTCTCCCCAACACGGATGATGATTGCCACGTGGGGCAGAGAGCAACCCTGTGATTCCCCCAGACTCCGTGTCAGGTCCCTCTCTGTCCCTGCCGTGAGTGGAGGCTGATTTCTACACGTTTCTACAGTCCTAATACGCTAATTCACTCGTTGACATCTCGTGACTCCCACCCCAAGTACGGGGGAGATGCTCGTTAAGGCAGCTGCATGCATCGCCCCCCACCCCACACTGTGCATCACAGAGGCCAATTTACAGTACCTTTATCAGGTTCTCTGCAGGAGCAAAAAAGTCATCTGTTGCAAATAAAATCTGGACAGGTGAAGAGGTAAAGATAAAATAACCGTAAATTAAAACCATTTTATTTCATTCCCCAGTGAAACGTTCAGAGATGCAGTAAAAGGAAGATGTGGAATTGCCCAGGGGGAGAGGAACCAGAGGCAGTGAAGCCACGATGCTGTGTAAGTGTTCGGCTGCCCTGCCCACCTCCCCCTTAATCTTTCCTTCCCATCCTTTTCTCTTAATCCCCTTTGCCATGTGGATGCAAAAGTTCTACCTTCTGACACTTGGAAAGAAAATAAACCACCTTCTTTTCCAGAACCGAGGGCACTGGACTTTGTGAATCTTTCCTAAACAAAGCAGTGGCCAAAAAAGTCCCACCTGCGGCTCTGCCACCGGGTACGCCCTGCAGGTGGGGTGGCCAAGGGATGCGTTAACCAAAGCAGGACATTTCTGAGAGGGAGGTGGGTAATACTAATTACACCAACGGGTCACGCCATCCACCTGGGCCCAGGGACAGCTGCCCTCTGCAGGGACACCATGCTCTGGGCTCTGACCCCCGCCCAGAACCTAAATTTACGGGAGGACCTGGCCGTCCTGGAGCCCCCGCTGTCTGGGTGGCCGAATCCCTCCCCTGCCCCTTCAGCCTCTCCTTGGCAGAGTCCCCGAGCGCACAGGGGGCTTCTCCTAGCCTCTCCAGGCTCGGGCTCGCCACGCCCCCAGGAGACTCCCTTCCCCAAGTCCTCTGTCCGAACCTCCCCTGCCCCTCGGCCTCGCCAGCTCCCCCCATCCCCGCCTGAGGTGTCCTCTGAGCATCACTTCCCTGCGTGACCCCCCCCCGCCCCCAGCAGGTGTGCCCCGCGGTGCCCTGTCCTGCCCTGACGCCAGCCTGGCCCGGCCGTCTCCTGGCAGAGCGCAGGGCCTTCCCTCTGCGCCTGGCCTCTCGCCTCTGCACATCGCACTCTGTCCAGTTCCCCAGGGGATCCCCTTCCCAAGCGTGACCCATACGCTGAGAACACGCGCAGAGGGACGGGGAATTCCTTCCACGGGCGCAAGATGTCCTTTTGTTTTAAACTTAAGGCAGTGCCGCCCTTGCTCCTAACTGTCACCAATTCAAGAGGTTCTTTGGAAGCCTTTTGTGAGTGGCTTTCCTTGGGGGGCCCGATTCTTGCTGTTCCAGCCGGGGTCCCTGCCGTGGTGAGCCGGCGCCATGGCGTGAGCACGTGGAGTCCCTGTTGCTGCCGTGAGAGACCCGCTTACCGTTCCTCCTACGAACTCAGACGCCATGTCAGTCAGCTGGGTGAAGTGCGGAGGCCCGGCCCGCTTCCCTTCCGGGGAGAATCAGCCATGCTCCCTGCAACGAGATGGCGGGCACGGTCAGCCTCTGGGGGCAGAGCCCTGCCGGCACGGTCGCCCCGCCCCGGAGCCCGCGGTGCCCCCGTTCCCACCCTTTCTCCCTACCCTTCACGGCGGATAGAGACAACGGAAAAAGTGGTGTCTCAGACTATGCTACATTTCCACCAGCAACGTGCGAGGGCTCCCATCTCCCACATCCTCGCCAGCAGCTGGTGCTGTCCGTCTGGTTTAACGGCCTTCCCGTGGGTGTGTGCCGGGGTCTCACTGCGACTTAAAGCTGCACTCCCCTCGTGACTAATGACGTGGACTACATTTTTGTGTGCTTATTAGCCACTTGTGTATCTTCTTCAATGTAATGCCTATTCAAATATTTTGCCCTATTTTTAATTAAATTTTCTGGTATTTTAAAAAATAATCAAAATGGTCTTATACTTTGACAACAGGAAACTACTACATAGCCTGGATAAAATTCAAACCTGTATAATTTGAGACTTTTTCAGCCAAGATAATTAATGCTTTCCATTCATGTGGTATGGTTTGCTTAAAGCAGATGAAGGTTGGCTTTGACAATAAAACTGTATAAAGGAAAAAAAATGTTACCTCAGGGAGGTGGGTGTAACTGAGTTGTAGAGCAGGTGCTTACCGAGCACGAGGTCCTGGGTTCAGTCCACAGCACCTCCACTCACAAAGCAAATACAGTAAAATAAAAAATGGTATCTCCTGACCCAGGAATCCTGCTCCTGGGCATCTATCCAAAAGGAGCCCTACTTCAGGATGACACCTGCACCCCAATGTTCATAGCAGCACTATTAACAACAGCCAAGACATGGAAACAGCCTAAATGTCCATCAACGGATGACTGGATAAAGAAGAGGTGACATATTTATACAATGGAATACTACTCAGCCATAGAAAAGAATGAAATCATGCCATTTGCAGCAACATGGATGGACCTGTAGATCCTCACTCCAAGTGAAGTAAGCCAGAAAGAGAAAGAAAAATACCATGAGATCGCTCATATGTGGAATCTAAAACAAAAACAAAAAAAACACACCAAAAGCATAAAACAAAACAGAAATAGACTCATAGACATAGAATACAAACTTGTGGTTGCCAAGGGGGTGGAGGGTGGGAAGGGATAGATGGGATTTCAAAATTGTAGAATAGATAAACAAGATTATACTGTATAGCACAGGGAAATATACACAAGATCTTATGGTAGCTTACAGAGAAAAAAATGTGACAATGAATATATATATGTTCATGTATAACTGAAAAATTGTGCTCTACACTGGAATTTGATGTAACATTGTTAAATGATTATAAATCAATAAAAAATGTTGAAAAAAAAGT